AATAAATAATAGGTTAGTTAGTATTAACGATTGATCGAAAAAAAAAACAAACACAAAACCTGACAATTTACAGTTTCTATAGCGCTTGCGCTAACTAAAAATCTGCACTCTAATCCATGAACCAAATGGACTGATCATGAACCAGTTTGGAACTCTCCGCGAACGTCGAACTCTTTGTCAAAGTCCCGGATTTTTAACACCGCGAACGCCTGAAAACAGAACTGCGCATGCGAAACAGTCAGAAACCAGTCAGGGACTGTCTCCGCGAACAATACTATTATTGCAGCTTTATCATCTGGAAATGATGGAATCTAGAATCTACAGACTAACAGGCAGCAATATACAACAACTATAAACCCAGAAAACAATGTATTCTTACAGTACAGCTATAATTTCTAGAGTATCGCTAAATAAATTTCAAAATAAAAGAGTCTGCCCAAGCGCGATTACTTGAAACATTAGTCGTCATTACCTCATCCAATGAATTATTATGCTTCAGCTCAACTACACTTCATCTAATTTACATACCGATGCACGCCATCAGCGTCATAGCCCGTGACGTCACACGATACCAACGCGAAATATTTAGGCGGTATGTGTGTTCTTTTTTAGAATCATTCTGCCGAGTACACTGGCATTACAGCCACTACACATATTTTATTATATACGCGTAGAAATAATATTTAAAAATTTCTATTAATGTTAACTTAAAGAAATACACAATAATATGTTTCATTTAATATGTATAAATGCATTATAAAGCGTTTTTATAAAGAACATTTGTTCGAAACACACTGTAACTGTAATCGAACGAAGGTGAAATTTTGGCATAAATTGGTAACACTTATTTGACAGTTGCGGTGTTGACACTTTTTGTATTTTATTATGTTGAATTTTAAAGTGAATACCTCTTGTTTTATATTTTTACCTATTTAATAAAATCTGTTATTTTTAGAACAAAATTAGTGTGTTTTATTTCAAAAATGTCACGTAAGAATTTAAATAGTCGTTGTAAAGAGATGGTAATACTTTTGCAACAATTATGTGATCTATTTGATTTAAAACGGAGTCAGGATTTTTTTATACTTTGGCAACTATGTCGACTTCGATCTCTGACGTAGATAATGACGTGTATCGGTATGTAAATTAGATGAAGTATATATCCAAATTATTATTTTGTTTTTCAACATAAGTAGTGATTGGAGATGATTCTTTTAACTTTATTTCGTGATTATCATAGAAAAGTTCCATAATTTTTTTGGATCTATCAGATGCATTATTAATATTATTTAAAACTTTAAAATTGTTCATATTTTCTTTAGTTAAAGCAAGAGATTTAAATAAAACACCTTTTAAAGAGGAGATAGGAAACACACAACAACAAAACTTAACCTCACATTCGGCTGATCTTAACAGTACAAGTAGTGCTTCAAAGCAGTAACCATTATAAACTAAATCTGACGCTTCTGAACCTAAGAGTATAGGTTGACTTATAATCTTACTCCCGAGCATAAAATTGCCTCAGTTCAGTTAGGTTATTTGGAATAAAGTACAAGATACCATTATAAAAACACTAAATTTTGACTTGAACTCTTAGTACCAGGTAGAATACATATCTTTCTACCTACTTCTGACTTATACTAAAAAGACACTAAAACTGACTTATACTCTTAATTCCTAACACGTTAGATAATATATTAGACGCTGATTGAAATTCATGCCAACAACGGTAAGTTTAGCATAAACTCCAACTTCTATGATCACGATACAAGATCTAGATATGCTATTAGGGCACAACGTTTTAGGTTGACAAAGAGCATAAAAAATTCGACTGATGTTGGTTTCTATAATTTTTTGCCAGATGAAGTAAAAAGTCTTCACTTGTTTAAGTTTAAAATCAAATCACACCTCGAGATCATTGGAATATATGCTCCGTCAGAAAATGCACCAAAAGCAGCTAAACAAATATTCTACGAAACTTTATCGGAACTCATTGAAAATATAAATAGCCGCAAAGAAATTGTGCTGTTGGGAGATTTTAACGCTTGGACAGGAACAAAAATAAATGACAAAGTCGTAGGAAAATATGGTGACGCTAAAACAAATGAAAATGGGGAACACTTAATTGAATTCTGTGAACAGCACTCTCTGAAAATCCTAAACGAATTCTACCAACATAAAAACATACATAAGTACACCTGGGTTCAACCAACGAGAAACACAAAGTCAATTGTAGATTATGTCATCACAAAACAAGAAACACACATACAAGTTGAAGATATAAGAGTACTAAGAGGACCGGAGTGCGGAACTGACCACTATATGGTAAGATCAAAATGTTACCTACAGTATCGACCTCGGCTACTACATCAAAATGACAACCAACTAGCTCAATCAAAACCCCTGGAATCGAATCTACCTAAATACAATATTGATGCACTGCAAAACGACTCGACATCATTCTTATATATGCTGCGACTTAGCCAAAAATTGGCAAACCTGATCTACTCCTCAGCCCAGAATACCTATAAAGAGATAATCAATAAAATCAATGAAGCAGCTTACGAAGCGCTCGGCACAATCCAAAAGAACAAAAATAATACTCCATTGTAGTGGACAAATGACATCGCCAATGCAGTACACAACAAGAAACAAGCATATCAAAAGTGGCTGCAAACAAATAATCCAGATGATAGACGAACATATGCAAGATCAAACAGAGAAGTAAAAAACTTAGTAACTAAAGCAAAAAATATTTCCTGGGAAAGTAAATGCGAAGAACTCAACAAATATATAGGGTCAACAAGATCAAGAGAAGCATGGAAAACGGTAAAAAATCTGAGAACAGAAAAGAAACGAGTAGAATAGATTTAATAGAAGAAAAATCTTGGATCGAACACTACTCACAACTTTTGACTGAAACAAGACCTCAATTCACGAACATCAGTACAACAACATATGAACTGGAAATCGGTGAAGACGATGAAATAACAGTACAGGAAGTCGAGAATGCAATACGAACTCTAAAAAATGGGAAGTCATGCGGACCACAAGGTATACCAAATGAATTATTAAAACATAGCCCACAAGTATTACGGGAATTACTGGCGTATGTCTTCACTTTATTCTATAATGGACACGACTTACCACCGGAGTGGACAAAAGCACATATTAACAACATAAACAAAAAAGGAGATAGAAAGAATTGTTCAAACTATAGGGGGCTAAGTGTCATAAATTCACTCTCAAGACTGTATGGAAAAATAATAAAAAATAAAATTGAAAAAGAGATGACAGATGTAGAAGAACAGAATGGCTTTCGTGCAGGCAGATCCTGCATGGACAGTATATTCTCTCTCAAGCAAGTTATCGAGAAAAGATTAGCCCACAACCTTTCAACTCATATAGTCTTTATAGATCTGACAAAGGTATACGATAGTGTACCACTTTCAATGCTTTGGGTAGCAATGAAAAAAAAAGGAATAAGCAAAAAAATATACAAGCAGTACAACAGCTCTACAAAAATATGACGACAAACATTAAAACTGGAAATACATTAACTAGAGAAATCCCTATTAGTAAGGGCCTAAAGCAAGGCTGCTGCATAGCACCTACACTCTTCAAAATATATCTAAATGAGGCACTCTCACTGTGGAGAAGAAAGTGCTGCAATATGGGCATCCCAATCGGAGATAATAGATTGTACACGATACATTTCGCTGAAGACCAAGCCATTCTAGCTGAAGACGAAAGTGATATAAGCTACATGCTCAGAAAACTGGAAGATGAGTACACCAAATGGGGCCTCACAATTAATATACAAAAAACTGAGTACTTAGTTGTAGGAGAAAAACCAGAAAGCCTACAAATCGAAATGGGAACTATAAAACCAACAGACAATTTTAAGTACTTGGGAGTCCAAATAACATCAAAAGCAGAAAGTAGCGAAGAAATACATTCCAGGATTGACCAAGCAAGATCAGCCACCAGACAGCTACACGGACTATTATGGAATAAAAAAATAACAAAAGAAAATAAAAGAAGAATTTATAAAACAATAATAGAAAGTATTGGACTGTATGGCGCCGAACTCTGGGAAATAAACCAAAGAAACAAATCAAAAATTAAGGCCATGGAAATGAACTACTGGAGACGATGTTGCCAGCTCACTAGACTTGATAGGGTGAGAAACGAAGATATTCGGAGAGAAATGGAAATCGATCTAGACATAATAGACACAATAGAAGCCAAAAGACTTAACTGGTATGGAGACCTTCAGAGAATGCCGGAAAATAGATGGCCAAAAAAATAGCAGAATGGACTCCGCCAACTAGAAGAAAACGAAGTAGACCAAGACGATCCTGGAGAGACGATGTAGACGATGCAATGACCGCCAGAGATCTAACAACTGAAGATTGCTTCGACAGAAAACGCTGGAAATTAGGATGCAAGAAGCGGCGCCAGTTGTAGAAGACTCGCTTGTTATATATATACTCCAACTTCTATGATCACGATACAAGATCTAGATATGCTATTAGGGCACAACGTTTTAGGTTGACAAAGAGCATAAAAAATTCGACTGATATTGGTTTCTATAATTTTTTGGCAGATGAAGTAAAAAGTCTTCACTTGTTTAAGTTTAAAATTAAATCACACTTTTTGAAACATTGTTTCTATTTAAAAACGGGTACCTAAGTACAGCTTTTACACAATAGTACTAGTTTGGTCAGGGTACTTGACTATTATGAAGATATTTCATGTTTTTATGTTTTAATTTAGTGTGTTTGTCGTTTCTTTAAATATTAAATATCTGTTTGTAATGTTTAAATTCGCAAAAATTGTATATGTATGTATGTAAAAATTGACTAAATAAATTCTATTCTATTTGTTTTCATAAAGTGTAAAGTAATGTTTTTGTTGATAATAAGGTTCATTGTTTCGTTGAATTCTTGAATTTTTTACTAATGAACAATTAGAAAAATTAATTTTTTCAATATTACCTTTCCTTCTACTGGTAGTGCATCCAGTTCAGCCTTGGTAAGGACAGTACGAATATGCACAATCTCCGCTAAGGTTAAAGAGAGTCTATCATCAAGAGATATGGTATCCTGCCAACTCTGAGAACAAGTCAGTTCATTTTGTATTTGTTTCGCAACCTTAAATAAACACACAATCACGTAAACGTCTTACCGGAATAATATAAGTTAAAAAACAACAAATTTTACCTCAGGTTCAAGTTGAACAGATTCAGCTTCTGAACTATTACACGATTGTCTGGAGCCAGGTCGAGATTGGGGCACTGAATAACAGCCTACGTTTGCTTCTACCACTTCTAAAGTGTTTCTTCTAGCCATATTCCTACTATATGCATGAGTAGCTAGATCATATACATCTACTAAGGTAGTATCACATATTTCTGGGTATTCACTAGACCATAAGCCGGGTTCTGTTGCCGAATCTGGAGTTTCGGCTATCTCATCGTCTTCATCATCTTCGAATTGGGAAAAGTCTACTTTGATCAGTTTTCTTACAGCCGGTTTTGGGGGACTGGTCACCTCGATAGTGGTTTTGGAAGTTTCAAGTTTAAATTTGGAAGTTCTGAAAATTTATATGCAATTAGATATTCATCACGTTAATGTTATTGTTTACATTTAGAAAATTATCTCAGAATTTTTGTAAGTAATCCTTTGAATAAAAATTTATTTTTTGGGTGGATTAGCTCTACAAAGCGATTAAAGTTTCCCTAGTAATTATATTTTTAACACATTTAGCGCCACGCTGTAATTGGTTGTTCACTCCCTGGGACCAAATATTTAAAATGTTTTTTTTAGCAACCTGCTTTTTAAATGTTTATTATTGTATTTTAAACAACACTTTTTTTTCAGCTTTGTTTTTTGTTATTTTTTTTTAGTGCCCACCGGTGGTCAAGCGGTCCCAGGTTGTAATTTTACATGGTGGGACCAAATGTCCACCAGTAGTCACGCATTTCATTATTTCTTTTGTTGCAGATTTTAAACAATAATAACAAGAAGAGGACTTACAGAAGAAAAACTGCTTTGGGAGTTGGAAAATTTGTCTGATGTTGAAGCAGCAGACTATTCCGAGGATGACTCCATTGCAGATCGAGATTACTCATATGATGAAGGAAGCTCCGATTCAAGTGAGAATAAATTAGCTGCATTTGATGTCGAGAAGGAAGTTGCTGAAGTAGTTCCTTTTACCGATAATATACTCCAGACCAACTGGGGGCCAGTGGCAGGGAACATATTGAAATTTAATTTTCTTTATGTCTACACCGGTGTACCCGAACATATAATCCAGAAACTTCATGGAGCCTCTCCTATAAGTTACTTTGAACACTCCATAGACGATGAAATTATCTCATTGTTTGTGGAAGAAACCAATACATTTGCTCCATAAAGAAATACTGCGAATGAAGCTGGACTGAACCCAGCAGGAAGCGGAACTCCAGGATTTAGTAAATGGGTTGACACTGATCGTACAGATGTGCACAAGTTTTTGGGCATTGACTTGTGGATGGAACTTATGCATTTGCCAAAATTGAGGGATTACTGGAGCAAAAAAGAATTTATAAAAATGCTATTCCAAAAATAATGAGCCGCAATAGATTTGAGATGTTACTTTCGATGTTTCATCTATCAAACAATGAGCAACCAATCGACCCGAAAGAAAGACTCCACATAATCTCTAAATTTTTAAACGTATTAGAAAAGAAGTTCAAAGAATCGTATATTCCCGAAGAAGTTTGTAAAGACGAACGTAGACGTACTATTTCGAGGACGTATTTATTTCCGACAGTATTTTCCCAATAAAAGACATAAGTATGGGATAAAGGTTTTCAAACTCTGCATTGCTGGATGCTATACATGATCGTTTAAAGTCTACACCTGCTCCTATCTCCACAGGAGTGGACGATATATCAGTTGCCGAAAAATTGTCACAACACTGATGGAGGGACTTTTGGATGTAGGTAGAACAACTGTATATACCGATAACTGGTACACTACTGTTTCGCTGTCTAATAGTCTAATTCAACGACAAACACATTTAGTAGGAACCCTAAGGACAAACAGAAAATATAATCCTCCGGATGTGGTAAAAGCTAAATTGAGAAAGGGCCCAACAAAACTACAATAAAACAGTTGTCTGCAAATGGAAAGATAAAAGAGATGTTGTTATGCTCAGTACCAAACATGACGACTCTATGGTTACAGTTGTTAATCGCAGAGGACAAGAAGTTCATAAACCAGCGATGGTTGTAGATTACAACAAAGGAAAAGTTTTTGTCGACACTTCTGACCAGATGGCATCTTATGCGCCATACGTGAGAAGAACCATCAAGTGGTATAAGCGACTCGTTTTTCATTTCGTTACTTTAAGGCCCGGCGCAAATTGAGCACAGCCCACGCACATCCCACGCGCAGCCCACGCGTGGATTATTTTGTAAAACGTGGTTTTAGACGGAGCGACGCATATTAAACCCAAACCACGGTTAGGCTACTGCCAGACTTGGTTGGCGTGGATAGAGTTGTGCTAGCAACACAGTTTCGTGGGTCGTGGGTCTCTACCTAACCTTAGTTATTTTGTTTTGTGTGACCAATTTTTTGTTATTCAGTGAAAATGGAAAAGTTTATTGAAATTGTTCGAAGAAATTATTGTATTTTTTTATTAAATCAAATGAAAAATATAACAAATCGAGAACTAAGGGAAAAAAAACAAAATTTTTATTTCTTAGCAAAATGTTTATGAAGATGAAAACTTCAAAATAAAATTTGATGGTACTTTTTCGTGATGCTCATATTGTAATGGCTTTTATACACTGAAATTAAATTACAAAAGAACATGAAGAAAGTAGAAAAATAATAGTTTTTTATTGAAGGATTTCAATTTTTTACCCTTAGCATTTGTGAAAGTTTTCAAGATATTTATATTTTCAAATTAGAAATTGTTAGTGGGATATTAGGTAAAAATTAAAAGGTCTTTAGAAAATAAAATATTTATTTAAACTAATATACTGAAGACAGTCTATCTTTTCGTTGCATGGTATTTGCGAAAACAATCTCCTATGCATAGTCCAGCTTTTTCGTCACAATCAGCACACTCGTAAATTGTGTTTTTCCTAATTTTATGGATAGAACATATTCTACACAAATATTTGACATGGACGTGGCTGTGTTCAATATGCGTTAGTATTGAAAAACGTGTACTTGGACTAGGTTGGACCATACGTGGGCTGCGCGTGGGATGTGCGTGGGCTGTGCTCAATTTGCGCCGGGCCTAACAGCTGTGGTAAATGCTCTGCATCTGTATAACCAAATTAATAACAAGAAATTGGGAATAATAGAATTCAAAGAAAATATCGTCGAGGCTCTGGTTTATCAAGATTTAAATCCAATTCCAAAACAATCAAGGCCCTCCAGTTTCAAGATAAAACACTTCTTGAAAGAATATAAGGGGCAAAAGAGGGTTACCAGAAGAAGGTGCAGCCCATGCTACAAGACTATGTCTCAGCGACAAAATCCAGTTTATGCTCGTAAAAATGCGAAAAAAATTGTTAATTATATGTTAAAAATGTGTTAAGTAAATTTAAATTTAACTTATTTTTGTGAAATTAGAAATGACTTCGATCTGTTCCACATGTAATACCAATATCATAAAAGAAAATAAAGGTGTTTCCTGCGACAGTTGCATGCTGATATTCCACTCTGTGACGACAGATTTTTTGCTTACCACATGGGGTATCAATACAAGGGATAGAAAATTGGGGACTGCAACAAAGGAGGTGAAGATAAGGCAAGCAAAATAATCATTACTTGTGCGAACGGCACTCAAGGTTTGTTAGGAGAGCTGGGGTCGTGGATAAGTAAATGGCAAAGGGGTTTGGATTGGGGCAACTAAAAAAAATGAAATAAGAAGTCATGAATTTCTTGGGATAAACAAAGCAAAAAGAAACAGGAAACACCTCTAGTAATTTAATATAGAGCGCCACTTTGAGGTGCCTAATTATACTTATTACAACCACTAGTTGTAACTAGGGAAATAATTATTAAACATAAAAAACATATCTTTTTCAAATAAAACTCAAAAAAGGGGTTAGTTAAAAAAATAAACAAAATGTTAAGAAAACAAAATTTAACATTTATTGTGTCTTACCACAAACAGTTACAAAAAATAGAGAATACAGGAATACTCAAAAAAGACAATACAAAAATATTACCTAAATAGTCGCAAAATAAAAATACCAAAAAAACTAACATGTCATCCATTTACAAAATCTAGAATTGGAGATACTACAAAAAAATTACAAATGTTACTGCATAGAGATTAACCTTTTTTTTTATACAAACAAAACAAATAAATATCGAAAATAATAAAGCTAGCTGTCATATGTTAACATTAAATTTTAAAAACTGAAAACAAATAAAATAACAGCTAAAGTCAAAACCCAAAACTTACAATATTAAATATTACTATTTTTAAATTTAAACGAAAGCAATTATTTATTTTAAAAAATTGTCTGTCTTTACTTTAAAATTTGATCAAAGAGTTACCTCTTTTACTAACCAACTGCATTTTTTACTAACAAACTGCACTAAAATTTGTGGAACCAGACGCCACTGGAACCTGCGAAACCATAACTGGAACTGAGGGCTTCACTCTCTCTGCGTAATGAACAACTCCATCTCCAAACTGCCAAAAAGGCTTGGATGACAACCAGGGAGAAACAAAACGAGGATGGAAACGACGATTCTTCCAATCCTCACTCAAAACATTAATTGAAGCATTAACTACCACAAAACTACTTTTCACTGCTACATATTTCCATAAAGAGAAAAACAGAAAACCACAAATTCGACGGATGAATTTGGATCCATAATTGAGTCTACAACGACTCAAGTAAGAATTTATTTGGATCCATACCTGAGCCTACAGACGACCCAAGTAAGAATGACGAAATTCTCTTAAGAATTCGTTCACCCAACTTGAAAATAAACAAACGCTGAAATAACAAAACACAACGAAAATTAAGATGTAGATTATTAATTTGAAAACACAGTACTTCGGTCGGCTTAAGAAAAATACGCAGCTGCGAATTAAATAAACATCTCTAAAATGGTTTACATGAACATCCAGCAATGCAAATAAAATAACTTGAAAGATAGGAACTAACAAACATGAAAAAAATTCTTCGTTTTTTTAAACATATATGAGGGGATTTCAATATATTACATATACGAGGGGATTTCAATATACACCAAAAAAAAATCAATGAATCGCAAATGCTACAACTCCACTGTTAAATGCTTGGCCTCTCTGCAAGTAAAGTTCGTGCAGTAGTGTTAAAAGGCAGATCACTAATATTCTTCTGTGTTGAAAGCCGCGAAGCCTTTAAAAACATTCCTAGCTTGGTGAGGCAAGTTACTGAGTTGAGAAATGAGCTACACAGAACCAGGACTGATTTGGAGTAGTCACCGCCAAAGTCACAGCATTGGAAGACAAACTTTCGTAATTGGAAGCAAGTGATGGGAAAATAAACACTAACAAGCCAAACGAAAACAACACAATTGACGTTTTGA